AAAGACAAGTATTCTGTAGCTGCTCTGCCTCATTTAGTTTTGTGACAGATTGTGCAAATGTTGTACAACAAGAAGTCTTTAATTTTAAAAGAAGATAAAAATGTGTCATACAGTTAATGTATCCAGACTAGGAAGCATCTGAAACCATATGATTTATTAAAGAATAACCTGCCTTTTGCTGCGTCTTGCCAAAATGACAGGAGCAAATACACAAAAAAGTACAATTTCTTGCAATACAAATCCTCTGTTTGTTTGCATGCCAAATTTTTAGGTAGAAATGTTGTGGAATCTGTCAGTGCTCAGAATATTTAATAAGATGGATTCTCAGCTACCTCACCCAACTTTGACCTCACTGTCTGTAAAACTAACGGAGTTATAGCCATAAATATGCAATATGAAGGCCTCAAACTGGTAAAAATGTTGTTATAACACTATGCAGTTTGTATTTTCCCAAATGTGTAAGTTTTATGTGAAAAAACTTTTCATTTTACAAGCACCTTGTGTTGACTTATTGCATCATGATGTCTTTGTTGCAATAATTGTTGCCAGACGTCTGTGTGATGTGATGAATGTGGTTTGGCAAATGTTTGTTTTCTGCACAAGATCCAAGTTGTTTTTAATTATTATGTCAGAAAGAAGTAAAACCAGGTAAACATTCAACCTGAAAGGCTGTTTGATTACATCTACTGTATCTTCACACACAGATGGAAGAGATTTATGTTTTGAACTTTTATATTTTGCACAGAACGCTTCCCAAATCTATCGAATAATATATCATGTTTTGAAGAATATGCAGACAGATAAAGCTTTTTCTGCTCATTTATATGAAAGTGGGCAACTTTTGCCTTATTCTTTAATACAGTTGTTCATCTACTTATATATCTTCCTGTGAACTGACATTTGAGGTAATAAATTCAAATGTCTTTCCTTGGTTAAAAACAAACTTTTTTCTTTCTTTCTGTTTTTATGCATTTGTTCCCAGTGTGGTTCTACCACTGGTTTTACAAGTTTTTCACCAAATGGTTCAGTCTGCTTTTACACCAAAATAATAATAGTCTTTGTTTAAAAGAGTTTTTATAAGGTAGTGTGCACTTTATTTTTGTTTGCATTGAGATTCAGTAATAAAAGGCTGTTTTTCATTGTTTTTTAAAGCTGTTTTGTTTTGGATGCAGAAGGGCTGGATTTAGATGGTTCATGGGTATTTTTGGACTTCAGGCTCTATATCCTCTGCTTTAAAACACTATTTAATTTCACCACAGAGAACATCTTGACTAGATGTTTTTTTTTATTTTTTATTTTTTTTGTTTGTTTTTTAACAAATTAACCAAGTCTGTAGTTTGTGCATAGTTTTTTTTTTTAATCCAGCTTGTGACTGCAAAAAACATAATACATTTAAATATATCTTAATTTTATCCTGTAAAACAAAATTTGAGTATTGTGTAAATTGCGTAATTGTTACATGTTGAAAACTTTTGGATGTTTTTTAGTGTTCAAATTAAATAAGTTTTATTATAAATACTGCTAAGAAACTCCAACCTAAGCCCTTTGGTTAAATTGCACACTTGATAAAAATAAGAAAGTCACAAGACGATTGGCACTCGTGCACGACACCCTAGTCCAGAGATCGCTGGTTTTGTTTGTATAAAACAAACTTTGAGCTACTTTGCTCAAAGTTTGTTGAATCAGAATTCTTTTGGATCCCCATGAGCTGTTTGTTGCAACATAATTGTTACTTTTTACATTTAAGCAACAGTCTAGACCAGGGGTCTGTAACCTTTGTGATAAAAAGAGACATTTTTCCACTTTCTTGACTAATTATTATGTCCGGAGCCACAAAACCTGCTGCAACTGTACTGTCAATTGGTGGCCCATGGGCCACTACACATTTGTTGGAGATTGCTTTTCCAGCCAGTGGGAGTGGTATTATAACATGAAAAATGTCCAACTATTATTAACATTTATTGATATTTTTACATTTAATACAAAATAAAAGACCAGATTCATGTAAAGAAAAAAAAAATCAACAATGTTATAAAAATTAAAACGCTGAACTCTGCAGGCCGATGTGAGTTCTCTTAATTGTTGAAGAATTAAGTATCCTACGTAAAGCATAAATTTAAAGACAGTACAAAATTAGGCCAGTTTGTTGGCTATCCAGTTACATTTTTAAAGAAAAATAAATAATTTTGTTTACTTTGACAGATTTTTTTTTTTTTTTTTTTTTTTTAGTGTTATCAAAGTTACTCACCACACTCCTTCTCAACAACTTGTCAAAGATATTCCAAAACATTCTGGTGGTTTTGAGAGAAAGATCATGCTGAGAGACTGGAAGTCGACTTAAAGTGGCTAACAAACTACTAGCATGATGTATTCCACATGTTTTACGCTGTGTATTTATACTGTTCTTCACATATTCAAAAATGACAGGAAATCTGCTAAAACTTTTCATAGTTGGTAATAATTTAAAGAAAATTCAGTTTGATGTTAGTTTTGGTCAAATCCTGAAAGAGCTGCTGCAGAGGTACCAGAACCACATGTGGCTCCAGAGTCCCAGGTTGCAGACCCCTGGTCTAGTCAAACCAGCCAACAAAAATAAACATTCCATTTCCTATAGTGTATTTGAGCTTTCTCCCCATATTTTTCATACATATAGGTTTTTTAAATTTAAACATTTTCACAATATAACACCTGAACGACAACCTCAGCTGGGGCAACAACAGCCTGATCAAGAAAGATCATCATGGACTCTACTTCCTCAGACGGCTGAGACGAGCTGGTCTAGGAAGCTCAGTCCTCACCTCCTTCTACAGGTGTGCAGTGGAGAGCATCCTGTGCTCCAGCATCAACGTGTGGCATGGAGGCTGCACAGCTGCAGAAAAAAAGCTTTGCAGAGAGTGGTGAAGGCTGCACAGAAGATGTTGGAGTCAGTCTCCCCACCATCACAGACATCTACACCTCCATATCCAGGAAGAGGGCCAACTGTATCATGAAGGACCACACTCACCCAGCACACACACTTTTTACCTCGCTTCCCTCAGGAAGGAGGTTGAGGAGCATTAAGTGTAGAACCACTAGACTGAGGAACAGCTTCTACCCTGAAGCTGTTAGACTCATGAACGTCTAGGTCAGAGCATCCTTGACGCATCCTTACATTTTTATGCTGATGACACAGTTGTTTATTGTCGAGCTAAAACAGTTGATAAGGCTTTCCAGCTTTTGCAGTCCATCTCCAACATCATCCAGTCAGATTTGGTCTGTCTCAAACTTGTCCTAAATGCCAACAAAACCAAAGGGATGCTTTTTTCAAACAGGAAGTCGGTCCCAGCAGTTCTTCCTCTGATTAAATCCTTAAATGGTGTCCCTATTGAGTTTGTTGATTCCTAAAAATATTTGGGTATCTTGATTGATTTGCATCTCTCTTTTAAGATTCACTTGGAAAACCTAGCAAGATAACTGAAAGTTTAATTGGGTTTCTTTTTCAGAAATAGATCATGTTTAACTCTGAATGCTAGGAAACGCCTTGTAACTGTGACTTTCCTTCCCTCCATTGACTACGGTTACATTATCTTTATGAATACTCTTACAAGCACCCTGCAGATGTTGGATGCTGTCTATCATGGTGCATTAAGATTCATAATTGGCTGTAATTACCGTACCCATCATGCACCCTGTATTCACTGGTTAACTGGTCATCATTAACTTCATGCAGACTCTCTCACTGGTACATTTTCATCTTTAAATCACTTCTTGGTCTGCTGCCTTCATACATCTCCTCCTACATGTCTCTGCGTGAGTGCAGCTACGGTGTGCGCTCTCAGGACATTATTACCTGCAGTGTCCCCTCAGTGAGGACTGAACTAGGCAAAAGGGCCTTCTACTCTGCTCCTGTTTCCTGGAATATCTTACAAAAAGATTTGAAGCTCTTGACCTCTCTAAGTGGCTTTAAACATCTGTGAAGTTCCTGGGAAAAACCAACGCAGACATGTTCCTGTTTTTAGTTTTCTACACCGCCTTATAATCTAGCTGTTTTTTTTGTTGTTGCTACGATTCCTTTTGACAGTCCTTTTGGTTGCCATTTATTTTAACTTGTTTTAAAAAAAATGTACGCATCTTTTATGATTGTCTATTGTCGTTGTTGTCATCACTATTTGTTAAAAATTCAGGTCTCTCTTGTAAATGAGTCCCGGAGGCTCAATGGGATTAACCTGTATAAATAAATAAAGGTTGAATGAAAATCGTAGATCCGTATTTACCGTTTCTTTTTACACTTTATATTTTTGCTATTGTTGGCTGTAACTGTGCACATAATTTCGTTCCACATCATGTACCACATGTGGTGAAATGACAATAACTTGACCTTAAAACACTACCTTGTTGGTTTATTATTTATTAGGATATTGGCCTATAAAAATAAACTTCTCCACCCTGAACCAATATAGTAAAAGCTGGTTAAAATGGGGCCATAACTTCAGCAGTTTTTTTTGTCTGATGATGACTAAAAAGCGCACTGGTTAATATTTTTACAATGACTGGCAACCTGCTATTTTTAAACATGTCAGCTCACGGGAAACGGAATGAAAGGAGTCAATCTGACAGCATGTTCCGGTGGTGCTCGGTATAAACAGGCTAATCGTGTGGGCTGTGACACGTAGGTCCCGATAGATGACGGGAGCAAAAACTTTTGGGTCGAGCCACTTCGAGCTCTGCGCCTTTAAAACGAGCGGTTCCGTTCCAGTCCGGACCGTCGAGCCGGCGGCCACGTACGGCTCTGTCTCCGCCACAGTTAGCTGCCGCCGTTTACAAGTTTTAGTCGTTAGCAGCGTAGTGTTTATTACCGTAAAGTACTTTTTAACGGTTCAACGAGCGGAGAACAACGTTTTGGGCAAAGGTTTCCCGCTGGGACAGTGGAGCAGACTGTCTGATCTGGGATCTGTTCAGGTCTAGAATCAGCCGCTGCTGCTGCTTCTCGCGCGGCGCTGAACTGAACTGAGGACGGAGCGTTTCACCGGGAAAAAGTTTTTAAATCTCCGCGGAGGGATACGAGGACGGCTGGGAAAGTTTAATTGGACACTTTTTTGTTTTGTTTTTCTTCCGCCAAGACTGCAAATAGCTCGTTTATTCTGGAAGTGTCTCTTCTTCTTTAACTTGTGCTTAATTACTTTTTTGTCCTTATATAAAAAAATGGATAAATACGAGGATTTAGGGTTGGAAGCGAGTAGGTTCATCGAGGACTTGAACATGTATGAAGCATCCAGAGATGGCTTGTTTCGAATGAGGAGGGATGCGGGAAATAACCCCGACTTTGAAGAAACGAGAAGAGTTTTTGCCTCTAAAATGACTAAAATACACATGCAGAAGCAGCAGGAGGAAATGGCCATGAGCGGCCAGCTCGTTAAAATGAATGGGGGTCCCAGCAGCGGGCACCCCAACAACAGACCGCCCCCCAACAGCTCCAGACAGCCGGCTGAGGCGGCGGCCAAACCCCCGATCCTCTCTGGCCCCTCGCCTGGAAACCAGCTTGACGGTTACAAGCACCAGACTGGTTCCCAGTTTGATCCAGTCAGCAGGGCTCACTCCTACGGAAACAATGACGATAATCTGGAGCTCTTGGAGATGCATTCATACCAGAACCCTTCTCCAACCAATTGTGGAAACCTTGCCAGGCACCCCGTGAGCCCACCAGTTGCTTGGTCCCCCTCCAAAGAGATCATCATGACACCCCCAGCAGTGGAGTCAGGGAGCAGCGCATCCCAGAAGCAGCCTCAGCTCATACAAACGCCCACCACCAGCCAAAGTCAGAGTCCAGCCAGGGTTTGGCCTGCAGAGCCAATGGACCCAGCAAAACCAGATAAGACGAGAGCTGCCTTGGCTCTGAGTGCTTTCACAGGAGGGGCTGACTTCCATGTTCAGCCCGTGGCACATTATATACCTCCTTCCAACTCTCCAACCAGTCATAATGGACCAGTTTTAGCTTCTGCATCATCTGAAACAACCCAACCAAAAGTCTCGGTGACTAATTCTGCTGCTCTGTGCCCCGGCAATGTCCCCAAAACACAGGGTCTAGGTCTGAGCCCAGTACTTGCCACAGCGCAGGTCATCAGCGGGGAAGCTGAAGGCCCCCAGTCTCTGCTCACGCAACCATCTGAACAGGGGCCCTCAGCAGCAGAAATAAAATTAGAGGCTCTCACGAAGCAACTGGAGAAAGAGATGGATGCCCAAAAAAAGACAGACTACTTTGGTAAGACTTCACATTACCATAACCAACAGAGGAGGGGTTCTGTCAGTCAGAGAGCAAGCTGAATGATAGGACCCCCCACTCACAGCTGAGAACATAAACCCACTTGTTTTTGATTTCATATTATTATGCACAGTCAGCCTTTGTCATTTTACTGGGTTTACATCACACACACACAGAAATGTCTTGTTTTTTCCCCGTGGTTTGAACTGGAGTGTATCCCAGATGTTTTATGCCTTCAGTAGCGTTCATGGTTGTTACTGATAAAATGATTGAACTTATTAGGCCAGCAGTGTGTGCGGTCTCTTGTTCAATGCAGACAGAATCATTTTCTGCCAGCTCTGCCGCCCAGGAATAATTCCACTGTTTTGATATTTTAATCTCAAACATTTTATAGAGATTCATGCAAATCTATGTACACTTACTCCAACAAGTGTATCATGGTATGATTTTGAAATTGTGATGTTTATCGCATGCTGCTAATAGCAAAGAAGTGATAATGTTTTTGCCTGTGTGTGTGTGTGTGTGTGTGTGTGTGTGTGTGTGTGTGTGTGTGTGCGCGTACACACACACACATCACTAGATGTATATCTACAACTGAATAACTTGGAGTTAAATTAGTAAACGCAAGATATAGGCTATAACTCAGTCAGTTTTAATAGACACTGAGCTAACATTTGTTGTGGTAGTAGCTGAGAGTGATCCTCATACTCCAAGCACTGACATTCATCCATCCATTCATCCATCCATTCATCCATTCTTTCATCCAGCCATCCTTTATCTTTACCCGCTTCTTCCTTTTTGGGTCGCAGGGGTCACTGGTGCCCATGTCCAGCCATCACTGGTAAGAGGCGGGGTACACTCTGGACAGGTCGCAAGTCCATCACAGGGACACTGACATATTGAATGAAATCTTGTAACATAGTATGACACTCCCCACCCCCCCACCATAATTTTATCTTCAAGGTTTGAACAAAATGACTAAAATTTAGTCATTTATGACATATTTTTTATGTCTAAACAGCAATGCATGTGACTGGTATGGCTGGCATTTGCGGGCAAATCTTTCATTCATTCATTACCGGTACTCTCCCTGCAGGTATGGGTGGGGTGGGGAGGAATGTCCATCATCAGTAAAACAGTGTGGCCTCCATTTCCTAAATCAGTGCTTTTAGCATTTTAGCTGTTCTGTCTGGATTGATGAAATGTATACTTCTGCACAAGATCAGTTCAAAGGCTGCTGTCATGTACACAGAAACCAAATATACCAAAGATGGGATCTGTTTGGTTTTTGCCAGGCCTTTGAAGCCGCTGTTTTTCTTCTTTCTAGTGTTCTTTCTTGAAGCGGGACAATGAGAAGGAAAGACACTGAGATGGCTGATGTCTAAGAAGCCACAAAAAAGCACCATCCCATATACATGCACATTGCTCACCCTCATCTCCTTGTGGGAGGTATTTCCTGTTGATATGCCATAATTGTGATTCACAGCCATCTTCAGCCACCCCATACCCCTTGTTTAGAAGTCTATGTTCTCAACAGGAATATTGCAGATGTGTAGAACAACCATCAAAAGTGAACACTTTTTTTTTAAAGCTAAATTTTGCTAGTACTGGGCATATATACGTATATTATATGTAGATAAATTCTCATGGTCATTCTCACGTGGCCCATGGCTGTGAATGTTCCCACTGGGAGATTCCCATTAGAGCATGGCTAATTCTGAGTCATGCTAGGAAAATGCCACAGAGTGTGTGCTATTTCCTAACTTGTGAAGATCTTATGAAAGACCTTCATAAAAGTCTTCATAATTAGACGAATGAAAGAGAAATGTAGTCATTTGGATGTTCGAGTGCTTCACATTTAAAGACTCGGATGTTTTAACATTAAGCTTTATGAGTTCAGAAGTGTGCATATTGTGCCTATCCTAGTGCCAAAAAAACGTACCCGATTCACTGAGCAGTGTCCATATTAAGGACACTTTGGATTTCCCATTAGTACTGTACTTTGTGTGGATCAGTAGAACTGCAGTTGTAGGGTCTGGGAAAATGTGTTCAATGCCAAATAGGCTGCACTGGGGGGAACACAGTGGAATGTCTGGAAGAATTTTAGAAATTGGGTTTTAAGATGCAGCAGGGAGAGGAGTGTGGGAGGGTGGGGGGTTGTGGGGGGGGGGGGGGCATGAATTAAGTTTAGGGGTACCTGTGGTGCAAACTGGATGAGCAGAGGACTGGACTGGAGTGATTTAGGGATGCTTTGTGGAAATGCCTTTTGTATTTGGCCCCTTGAGAATAAAAGAATGTGAGATTTACAGTCAAGTTCATCCATGAAGGGAGAAGCAGTGGGTCATCTCAGAATTAACCCCCCCCCCCCCCCACACACACACACACACACACACACACTTTCATAGATATTTACTAGAGAGTGAATGTGTTAAGATGAAGGATTAATTCATCCCATCTGGTTGTCGAGTGGAAAGCACCCTATTAACTTTTACCAGGGATTTTTGGCTTCTGCTCTGGCAAAGCTTTGAAGGCTGATGTGTGTGTGTGTGTGTGTGCATGCTTATACACGTGTGAGAGAGAAAGAGAGGTAATCCATCGTGCACATTTGAGCGCTATCATAATCAGTACTTTTGGTGTGGTTTGATGAAAGGAGTTTTTCATTGCTGTATTTTCTTTTGCTCTTCTTCAGTTTCTGTGTTTGGTTCTGGTCCCGTGTCTTTGTTTCTGCTTTGGCCCTGTCCACTCACACCTGGTCCTTGTCTCTCTGCACGGACGTTGGTGGTTCCGATATTTAGTTTTTGGCTTTATATTCCCTGGGTGGAGTTTGGTTCTTCGGTTTGGCATTGTACACACCTAATGTGTCTGTCTTGACTCCGTGCTCATTGATCCCTTTCTGCTTGTAGGTTTACCACCATGTCAGCATTTTGTTTTGCTTTGTAAATAAAATCAGTTTAGCTTTTTTGCAATCTTGAGTCCAGCCTGATCTGTCTGCACATTAGGTCTTGATAACTATGCCTAACCATGACATGTGCCTTTGCATATTAATATATGGGAAATAAATATATGGGAGAAAATGGGGAAGAAAATGAGAAGTGTTGCTAAATCTGTGACTGCTTTAAGCAATATAGTTATTTGGGTCTTTGGGGCTAATTGGCAGAGTGATGGCACTACCAAATTTACAAATATACTCAGAGAAACTGTGTTTTGCTTCTTGTTTCTTTTCTCCCTGCAATAAGTTATTAGCAATTGTTCTCCTGTAGAAGTCTATAAAAAATAGTTTGCTGTATTAAAGGCTAAAGGCGCGCATTATATGAAACATTCAGCATGAACTAACAGAAGCAGTGGCGTGCATCAAGGATTGGCTCTGAGCCCCTTCTTGTTTGTTCTGGTGATGGACTGGCTAACAGATGAGGTCAGGTCCCCATGGACTATGATGCTTTCAGATGACATGGTGATCTGTGGTGAGAACATGGAACAGGTGGAGTGTAGTTCTTTTCTGACTGGTGTTACAGTATAACCTTATTGAAAGAAAATTACAAAATGGCGGCGCCTATCTGAAGTTTTTTTTTCGTTAACTTTTTATCCCATACGTCCCAATCATGTGAGTAATATTAAAGTTGACAATCGTTGAAAAACTGCCGCGAAGTATCGAGGGACTACTGTACATGTGTGAATGGGAGGGAGGCAGGTGGAGCAGTGAGGCTACAGGGAGCAGAGGTTACAAAGGTGCAGGACTTCAAGTACTTGGGGTCCACTTTCCTGGGAAATGGGAAGTGTGGTAAGAGGTGAAGATGAGAGTCCATGCAGGATGTAGTGGATAAAGCAAAGTTTCAGGAGTGATTTATGAATAAAATGTGGCAGCAAAGGTCAAAGGAAAGTTTTACAAGAGTGTGGTGCGACCAGCTATGTTTAATGGCTTGGAGACGGTGGTATAGACAAAAAGACAGGAGACAGAACTGAAGAAATTAACTAACTAGTACTGATAGTTTGAATCTGACCATTTCATTGTGTTTTAAAATAAAAACAACTTTTGTAAGAGCAGCATTCCTCAGCTTTCTAATAATATCCTCCTGTTATCTAAATCATTTTTCCAGCCATTGGGGCCCTTGATGTGTTGGCATAGTTTTAAGAACCACCCAGAGATCTGTTGTGTGCGTTGTTACCGTATAGAGGCAAGGAGCAGAATCAGTTGAACACGATCGCTGGGTGTAACAGTGTGTTCTTGGAGTGGGCAACTCTGTGATGCGTGTTGGGTAGAGTGGAAACAAAAGTTTCTTTGTCAGCGCTCAAGGAGAAGCAGGGTAGGGCGGCTCTCTTCTGCTGAGTTCCAAATGTTAGTCTCCAGGGAATCTTTCTATAAAAACACACACAAATAAACTTGTGCCCGTGCACTAATCTCACACACGCAAAGGAAAATGTTCGGTATTATTAGCCTCTGTGTTTGGATTTAACGCCGAGTGACTGGTAATATACCAGATCTGATTGAGCTCATGGGCTACATGTTAGCAGCAGTATTTATAATCATCCAGGTTCTATGTGCAACACCTTTAGCTGATGTTTGAGAGGTAGAATGCAGAGCAGAAGAGTGGGATACAGAAAAAAAAAAAAGGCAGCGCATGATAAAATTAGTTACACGTAGATCACACTAGCCCTTGTGTTGTTCAGGAGCTGCTTTGTAATTTATGCAACGTACTCACATGTTCTGCTTTTTGAAATGCCTAACTTGTTGGAATAAACAGAAAACTCTTTCTGTCGTGGATTTGTCTTCTTTTCTTTGCACATTTTGATCATATGTTATTTGGCTTGGCTGAGTGGGAGGATTATTGTTGAAAAAGACCTCAGCGGTTTGATATCAATGTGCAAACCGTGTGTATTGTGAGACTATGTGCACTTTGATTTGTATCAGCCTCTATTAATAAAACGTCAAGTTTTGGGGCCAAGTCCAACAAGCAGGCGGGGATATATTTTCCTGTTCACCCATACAGATTCCTAAATCAACTTCCTGACTTTTGTGAAAGAACCGTTTTTTAAATTTGTTGCCATTAATTATTAGTGAAGCTTATACCGTGTGGGTAATTTTTTGTACATGTACTGTAAAATCACTGAGTCAGCATTCAAACTATTGTTTACCTGTTTTTGTTTCTTTCATACATATTTTTTTTGCAATCTACTGTACTTTTACACACTTTACACTCTTATTAACCACTCTTGTACATAAAAGTTGAGCTTGATTATGACTAGTGTTAGGACTTTTTGTTTTTGTAACTTTTATACTATTCAAAATATTAACTAATAGAAAAATAATCCTAATGAAATATACTGAGATCTTCAAAGTTCATGCTCAATAATCCAGGTAAAAAAAATCCAACAAAGTTCAGTCAGGTCATCTGGAGGGTTTCTTTTTTTATGTTATTGAAATGTTTTGTCCTTCATCCAAAGGACTTCATCAGTCCGAGGAGCCACAAACAAACTCAGTCCCACAAGCAGGACACTCGTGTAGTGAACCAACCAGTTTGCTGGTGATACGATGGTTTCTGGGGCCCGCCCTCTTCCCTGTCGACTCCTTTGAGGCAGCCATAGCCAAAGTGGTTCAAAACATGGATACATGGACTGATGAAGTCCTTTGGATGAAGGATGAAACGTCTCAACAAAAAAAGAAACCGTCCAGATGACCTGACTGAACTTTTTGTTGGATATATTGAGATCTCTTCCAGTTCTTCCAAAACATTGTTCTGGTTGAAAGCTATGTCAGTGTACCTGCTTTGTTTTTGTTTTCTTATAGTTTAGCTTCAAGCTACTATTTTGATTATTTTAGCTAACAGTGCTTATGTTAGTTTTTAGCTAATGTTCTGCAATTTTTTTCTTCTGTTCAGGTTATTTAAACATTTATTTTTTTCAGAATTTTCCATAAATGTCAGCAAAGTCCTTCAACAGAACATTATCTCTGCATTTCCACTGAAAATGCCGTTTCTCAATATTCCATGTTTCGACATGGTAAGCGAACATAACTGTGTGATTTTTGTTTCAGGAGTGTGTGTGAAGTGTAAGAAGGCAGTTTATGGATCCAGCCAGGCCTGCCAGGCCATGGGAAGCCTCTACCACGACACCTGCTTCACCTGTAGCGCCTGCAGTAAGTACATACTGTCACTATGGGGCTTTAGCTTCCCATTTAACCACTGTTCACTGCTCATAAAGCAAACATCACCTCCTTAATAACAGGCTTTACTCGTGAATGAAAGTGGCACCTTCCTCAGTTGTTTCCTTCCCGTGTGAAAACACACCATTATAGAGAGATTACTGTCAAGTATCGCTAGTATTTGCTTTGTAGGTGTGCCACTTACTCCAACAGCAAAGATTTAATTTCAACCTGCCCATGCCTTAAATTTTTCTAAAGAATACGTTTGAATTAGTAAATGCAGGACTGGATGCTAAAAGTCACTGGCTAATTCAAACACAACCATGCTCGAAAAGTTTACTGTATGTGGAAGTGAGAGTGGCTCGGATCTTACTTACCAAGAGCGCTCTCTGGAATGAAGCAAAGTGTTTTCAAGCTGCAAGCAGTTTTTATTGTTTGAATTTCACTCTGTTCTTTGCTCTGATCCTGGTTTCTGCATTAAGACATGCTCCTGCTGAAGTGATTTGATGTATATGTGGTCCTTTTGACTTGTTTCTTGGATCAGTCGAGTCCTGCTATACATTATTCACAGCTCACGGTCTTATTTAGATGCTCAAACACGACCAGGCTTTTCACTGCAACTAATTCTCATCCTTTCCCTAATTATCAGTTCATGGGGTATGTGGAGTATCTGTGCCAATGTGGTGGGATTCCCTGCAAAGGCTCATTGTTCTGCAGCACCTTTGACCTCGGACATGTCTGTGCTCAGATGTGGTAAACATCTCTTGTTTTCTTTTGTGCGCCATCCTGTGTATGTGCGAGACTGAGCAGATAAAAGAGAGATGTGGCCAGTGTCGGACACAGTGGGGTGGAGGGACTCGAGTTTACACACCACATACCTCTCATACCTTGCTCCATGTGAGGGCATTAGGGGTTGCGTTTGCTTTAAGTGGCCACAGGGAAAACATTTCGTCCAGCGAGGAATGCAGGAGCACGGGGGGCCCTTGGTAGGTTGGACTCCTGGAGGACAGTGGGTGCTGTTGTGTCAGCTGAGTGGAAATAGATGCAGGACAGTGTGGACAGGGAAACCATTCACTGGGGGACACGTCCCTCCACACCCAGTAAACATGCAGTTAAATGAGTCTTCATGAAAGCAAATCTGCCCTTCGTCCACAAATACCTTCAAGGTGAATGAAGGGCAGGAGAACAGTTCTAATGACTACGAGAGCTGTCTTTATGAGGGAACAGTTTTCACTGCATGATACGGTTGAATTCAACATTAACACACCAATTACAGCTAATTTTATTATAATATATGTTGTGTCACAGTAGAGCTGTCATTTCTTACCCGAGCCTGAAGCATGGCCCGGCTCGGCCCGAATTCAATAATGTGCTTAATGTGCGGGCCGGGCCAGTCTCAGGCTTTGATGCTGTTTTATGAATCATCCAGCTCAAATAAAACTGAATAAGAATGCACAATATATAAAATTGTGTTAATCTACTTGTTGAGGAGGAGGCAGTAAGTTTATATGTTGAGAGGAAGAGGAAAGAAAGAAGAGTGCAGCAGTTAATCAGACTGTGAAGAGAGTAGCGCTGGCGCATTGCGCAATAATTGCGCATGTCTGCTCGGGCGTCTATAGTGCGGTTTTACGAATCATACAGCACAAAGAAAACTAAATAAGAATGCACAATATAAAATTGTGTTAATCTACTTGTTGAGGAGAAGGCAAGTTCGACTGGCCGATTGAAAGAGGTAAAATCAAATGGAGATGCACGATATTATCAGCATGGTATCTGTATTGGTCTATATTAGCGTTAAAGTTCAATATCGGACCTCGGCCATTCCATTAAAATAACTTGCCGATATAAAAGGCACTGTTTTTGAATGACAACCCAGTGACAAGGACGCCTGCAGTGGCAGCACAACGTGATAACGTCACGCGCACCTTCCTGAGACAGCATTGCAGGTGACTAATGCTAATAAATAACATTTAATAGTTTTCATTTAATAGAAGTTAAAGTTCTATGCATATCATATGGCTGTTACTGAATATATGTCACCAGCTCTTACAGCTGTTACACAATTTTTGTAGCAAATAAGCCTAAATAAGAGGGCTCTGTTCTGACAAAGGAAAGTATATAAAATATCTGTATCGGTTATTGACCAAATAAGTTTTAACATATCAGCATATCGGATATCAGCCAAAAATTCAATATTGTATATCCCTAAAAAAAAAAGTCCAGTTAAACTCAGTTGGATCAGCTGATCACCTGCCGCGCGCGTCTCCACACCTGCTGTCATCTACGGTGAAGGAAGTTGCAGCACCTGAAGCTACAAAAGCCGACGCGAGCAGCGCGTTCAATTAAAACAGCCTTGTTCTATATATTTCCAAATAATTTTGCTCTAAATATATTTTTGTTCATCTGTATAATGGCCAACTCTAAATTGTCCCTATAGATGTGAATGGTTGTTTGTTCATTTGTCTCTATGTGTCCCTGTGACGGACTGGAGACCTGTCCAGTGTGTCCCCCGCCCCTCGCACAATGATTGCTGGACATGGGCACCGGCGACCCCCGTGACCCAAAATGGAAGAAGCGGGTAAAAGATAATGGATGGATGGATGGATGCCTATCTTTAGAGTTGGTTTTTTTAGGCTTTGTTTTGTATGTTAATATCCATTTGGTGAAACAAGAAATCTAGTCTTCTTTCTTTGAAATAAGTTTTTAAAATATCATATCAAACTGATTTTCTTACAAAAGCAGTAAAAGCTTTTAAAAAAG